ATAACCATGGACACAGACAATGGGGTGTTAAAGGGGGAGGGCAGGCTGCAGGGGGGCCTGGGGGGGCGGGAAGAGGACATATGTAATACTTTCAACAATAAAGAATTATTATTTTGTTTATTGCTTAAAGTATTAGAGATAGTAGAACATATGTCTCTTTTTTCCCCTATTGCCCTCCCCCCAGCCTCCCTCACACCCCAGGCACATGCCCTCTCCCCCCTAGTGTCTTGTGTCCATTGGTTAGGCTTATATGCATGCATACACGTCCTTTGGTTGCTCTCTTACCCATCCCCCACCCCCAACGCTCCCCTGCCTTCCCACTGAAGTTTGACAATCTGTTCGATGCTTCTCTGTCTCTGGCTCTGTTTTTGTCCATCAGTTTATGCTGTTCATTATATTCCACCAATGAGTGAGATCATGTGATATTTATCTTTCTCTGACTGGCTTATTTCGCTTAGCATAATGCTCTCCAGGTCCATCCATGCTGTTGCAAATGGTAAGAATTCCTTCTTTTTACCGCAGCGTAGTATTCCATTGTGTAGATGTACCACAGTTTTCTAATCCACTCAGCTGCTGATGGGCACTTAGGCTGTTTCCAAATCTTAGTAAATGGTGCTGCTATGAACATAGGGGTGCACATGTCCTTTCTGATTGGTGTTTCTAGTTTCTTGGGATATGTTCCTAGAAGTGGGGTTACCGGGTCAAATGGGAGTTCCATTTTTAATTTTTTGAGGAAATGTCAAAAACTTAAAAAAGATTACTTTTTAAAAAAGAATTTTAAAAAAAGAAATATCTCTCACCTTCGAAGTATTTTTTTTTAAGAAAAAGAATCTCTCCAGTAGTCACACTCCCCTCCTGCCCTCTAGGCCCTTCCCCATCCACCTGGGGAAACCCCCACTTCTAAACGCCCCGTGTGACCCCGTGCTCCCACTGCGGCTGTGTCCCCTCGGAAGATACCCCCCCACACACCTTCCACAGCCTCCCAGCCACATCACACTCACCAGCTGCCCGAGCTCTTTCTGAAACTCAAGTCTGTTCACCTCACTCTTCAGTCTAAAACCCCTGAGAGACAGCGACTCATCAATGTGATTTAATTAAGCCTGGATTTGAGGTCATTTTATTTTCTTCTTTGTCCTTCTCTTCACCTGACAACGCCGGCACAGTGAGCATGTGACATGTCAGCAATCAGAAAAAGACAACCCACAATTTCTTAAAAATCCTCTAATTTTTCCTAGATAATATTAAACACCTTTAGCCATTCAGACAAGACTCCGCCTGTCTATTTAACCATCTCTCTGGCTATTTTAATTCTTTCTGCAAACCCTCTACCACCTCCAAAATACGCTTTATTCTCTAGCAACACGGGAGCTACTCAGCTACGAATAGTTCCCTGAGTGCTTTGTGCCTCGGGACACCTCTGGGTTTTTAATATGCTGTTTTCCTCTCCCTCTCGTCTACCTGGAGGACTCCTATTCATCCTTCAAAGCTTCAGATGTCACCTCCACTGGGAAGCCTTCCCTGATAGCTACCTCCTGCAACAGAGGGAATGCCTTTCTACCACTTCGTATATCTATCTGTCCAATACAGCTGTCTGTGTGCCCTCCCACCAGCATGGGGACCGTGCCCAATACCATCTGTGCCACAGCTGGCGCTCCAGAAACATGTACGAAACAGCACCAGAGGCGGCCTCAATGGTTGGTTGGGTTTGGTGTCTTTGGTTGAGGTGGTTGATGTTGGATTCCTCCAGAAGCTGAACCTGAAACAAAGCACTGAATTTAGGTCATTGATTTAGGAGGCGGCCCCCTCGTAGCCCTGGTGGGTGAGCAGGGGTGGTGAGCGGGAAAGGGAAGGAAACGAGTGGAGGGGACGTGCAGAGCAGTTCCGGCTGTGGGCAGCTGGCCTGCGGCCTGCGGGGGCCTCTGGGAGGCAACATAAACCACGTCTTGGTCGGCGTATTCCCAGGCGAGCAAGCTGGGGTATTTAACCCGTGAAGGCTGCTCCGGCCAGCCTTTCCAGCCAGTCAGGTGTGTGGGCTGAGCACCCTCCAGTCCCCCCAAAACCAAGGCTTCCAGCAGCAGGACTGGCAGGAGGAAGCCAATGGGCCAGGTCTGCGTTGGCAGGAACAGTGAGTGACAGTGAGGGGGGTGTGGGCGGGACACTGGGAGTGTTTACTAAGGGATGGAGGAGGCACTCCCTCCCCAGGCCCCCCCACACCCCCCACACACACACACACACACACACACACACACACACACACCATCCGAGAGCCCATCAGCTGTCCTGAGACCCCTACCTGTGGCTCCCGAGACTTCCGGGCGACAGCGGTGAGGACACCAGCCGGGGCTGGGCCAGGGGACGGCGTCTCTCTCCATCTCTGATCCTGATTCCCGGCCCCTCCAAGGCCCAGGGGGCCATGTGGCTTCTCTCTGTGCCCTGCGTCCTGCCCTCCGGGCGGCCTGAGGCCAGTGGGTGGCAGGCAGCCGGAGCGTTATCAGAGCCACCGAGCTATCTGAGGAGGCGTCACTTCCACTTACCAGGGCACGTGGTGACACAGGCCACGGGCGCACGGCGGGGGCTGCGCTTTCGGTCCCGCGCGGGCCCTCTCCCTGAGGACGCCACGGCCCTGGTACAGAGGCTGGGCTTGGACCCCCAGGGGCTGTGTCCCGGCAGAGCCCGGGGGGTACCTGGAGCCTGCGCCCCCACTGCACTGTGCGGGGAGCTGAGGCCACAGAGGAGGAGCGGTTTGGTTGTAGATTTGGTTTTTTTGTTTTTGTTTTTCTTTAAATAATTTTACCATTTTCTATTTATTTATTTGAAATCCTCACCTACGGATATTTTCCCATGGATTTTTAGAGTGGAAGGGAGAGGGAGAGACATAGAGAGAGAGAAAGATGGATGGATGTGAGAGAGACCCATCGATTGGTTGCCTTCCGCATGCACCCAAACCAGGACTGGCAGCCTTCCCCGGAGGTACGTGCCCTTGACCGGAATCCAACCTTGGACCCTTCCATCTGCAGGCTGATGCTCTATCCACTGAGCCACACCGGCTAGGGCTGTTTTTTCTTTCTTGTTTTTATCTGTTTGTTTTTGGATGGGGGGTCGGGGCATAGACCTGGATATCCTTGCAGCAGCCCTGCCCTGGGCTCACTGTTACACGTGACACCGCATTCACAGACAGCATACACGTCTCTTCAACCGGAGACCCCCAGGAGCTGGAACTAGTCCCCCAAGGCACCTCCCACTCAAACTCCCGGGGTTCCCAGGCTCCCCCACCCCCACACCCCCACTCAGCTGTGGCTCAGGCCTTAGGCTGGTCTCTGCCGAGCTCGCTCCTCAGGGCTGCCACCCAGTGAGGGCCACACGGCTTGGCCGGGCTTCCGAGACCTCACAGCCACGGAAGGGCTTGGGGTCTCACGCGGAAGGAGAGGGGAGCCCTGGGAGAGAGGCTGGCCTGTGGCCCCAGGTCAGACGCTGGCTCTGAAAGGCTCCTGTCCGTCCTGACGTCCCCATCACACCCCCTGCCTGGGGCAGCCGCAGACTGGACCTCAAAGGTGCCTGGGACTCCTCAGGTCCCAGAAAATCAAGTAGCTTTCCTGACCTCCCCCTGCTGATCCGCCCACACATCTGCTCCTCCTCACTCCCTCATTCCAGCGGGGCACCCCCTTTTGGTTCCTCAGGATGAGAACCTCGGGGTCGGCCTTGGCTGCTCTTTCTCACACAGGAAGGAACACATCCTTTGAGGATGTGCGGTGCAGCCCAGCCGAGCCTCGCGGGCCCGTGGGAGGGGGAGCCAGGCAGCAGGGGCGGTGGTGCTGGGGGAAGAGAACAGGAGTGGCGGGCGGGGCGGCAGAAAGAGCACTGGGCTGGGAGTCAGCCCCCCTCCTCCCCCCAGGTCCTGACTGCCCTCTGCTGGGGAGGGAGGGAGAAAGGAGGGGTCCCTGGGAAAGGGACTCAGGCTCCTGGGAGGGAAGGGGGACCCTCTCGCTCCTCCGTGTTAGTCCCCAAATCCATCCTTGGCCTCAAGGGGGTGACGGAGCTATGGCGACAGGGACTCACACCTGGCTCACATCCCTCTCCAGGAGGGAGGGGGGTGTAGCCAGCTGACCCTCTGGATGGGCGGTCAGACTGGGATATCGGAGCAGGGTTGGGCTGCAGACCCCTCCATGCCCTGAGCGCTCTGTCAGGCACCTCTGAGACGATGGGGTGAAGCGTGGACTCTCCCAGAAATAGGAACAAACACCAGCATTTAAAAATTCAGTCTCACAGTTACCATACATAAGAAAACGTGTGTAAAACACGTATCGACAGTTTTAATACTATTCATGCTATGAACATACAAGAACCCCGTCCCCAGAATAGGAAATAGAGCATTTCCAATCCCCCACAAGACCCCGTAGGCCCCTCCCTCCGCATGTCCCTTCACCCTCCTCCCCACCCCTTCCCCCCGCAAGGTAGCCACTATCCTGAATTTAGCAAATATTCGTTTCTTTTTCTTTAGACATTTTTTAAAAACATTAAAAAATATTTTTATTGATTTCAGAGAGGAAGGGAGCAGGAGAGAAAGATAGAAACATCAACGATGAGCGAGAATTATTGATGGGCTGCCTCCTGCACGCCCCCCGCTGGGGATGGAGCCTGCAGCCCGGGCCTGTGCCCTGACGGGGAATTGAACTGTGACCTCCTGGTTCAGAGAGCGACGCTCAACCCCTGAACCCGGCTCTTTGTTTTCTTTACAGTGTTGGCACCTCTGAGTATGTTCCTGACAATACACACTGTTCCGGGTGGTCCTTTGGACTTTATAGAAAAGGAATCACGCCGTTGATCGTGTCCTGTGGCTTCTTTGGCTGCCGTAACGTTGTTGACATTCATCCAGGAGGATGGAGCTGCAGTGGTCCACGCTTCCTCGTGCAGTTGGGTTGTGTCTGGACTCTCCATTCTGCTCCGTGGGTCTGTCTGTCTGTCTGTCTGTGTCTGAGCAGTGCCACACGGTCTTAATTCACGTTGTCTTTTCTAGGTACAAACCTTCGGTGATGAGACGCGTCCCTTCTGGGAGCTAAGGTGCAGCACAGCGAATAGCCAACAGGACTGTGTTGTGCGTTCGCAGGTTTCAGACATGTCCGTGGAGGTCGCCGCTTCTTCCCGGAGACCCTTGGCCTCTTGGCCTTTCCCGGCTCCCACCTTTCTAGCACATCCTTGTCCACACTGAGCAAAAGACACAGCGACCTTCCCCGGGAGCGGGCTTCTCCCTGCGAGGTGAGAACGGGCGCCCTCTAGGGCCCGGAATGGAGAAACGCATCTTTGCGCTCACTGTGGAGGGGGCAGTCCCAGGAACCAGGATGGGGGGGGAGGGCGTGCCATGGGCCAGGAGCGGGTGGAGATGGGAACTGCACCCCCATCCAAGGACCCTCATGAGCCTTCAAGACAGCTGGTCCAGTGCGGCCCCAGACGCTGGGAGATGTTGCACA